GACGCCGCAGCACCCGCGTGGGCGACGCCAGCGCCGCGGCGGGGCACGTGGCGTCTCCGTGGAAATGGCTCTTCCACCTGTAACCGGAGACGGAGGTTGAAGGTCCCGCTGGGGCTGGCGCAGCCAGGGAGCATCGCGGGCGCTGCCTGCAGCCCTTTCCCACGCCACGGAGCAGGCACCCGCGGAGAGCTGCTTACATGGTGCGAGCAGGAGGCCGGTGTCACGGCCAAGCGCTCCCGTTTTGTTAAACAAAGTAGGGAAGTGGGCTGGAGTCTCTTATTAGGAATTGTAATGTCCATACGTTTTGCCGCTTCCAAATAATTTCCACCTATGTCTTCCTGCGACTGCCACGCTCAGTGCTGGCAAATGTCCCTGTGCCGAGGGGAACGGCTCCCTGGGAGCAGGCGCCAAGCGCGTCTCGCCCAGCCCTGCCACCAACCTGGAGCATCACGAAGACCACAGTCCTTGCTACAATTCCCCGTGTTTCATCCCAACAAACCCTGCAGCCTAAAGTGAGCTAATGGAAGGGCAGTCGGTGCGTGTTTGAGCAGTGCATGGCCGTGCCGCGCGGGGCTGCAGCGAGGCGGCTCCGCCACGCGCCCGCCCGGCCTTTCCCCTCCGCGGGCAGCAACCTGACACGGCCTCGCTGGAAATGAGAGAGACGGGCAGGCACCTATTTGGTTACAGGCCACGGGCACATGCCTGGCCTTCATGGATATATTAAGTAAGAGACATTTTAAAACAAAACCACCCTCCGTAACCTTATCGTGAGCTCCGACCTGCGGCTCATCTGTTGGCTCCCCACGGTGCCCACCCAGGGCAGCACCCTGGGCACTTTCGGCACGTTACACCCCAAAACACCCATTTTGGAGTGGGAAGGGGAAAATCCCTCGGGAAGAGCCAGTGCTGCAGCCCCTTTCCTGGCACCATGTGTCCGAGCAGCCGCCAGCCGTCGCCTCGCTGTGGCTGGAATGGCTGCACATCCCTGGGTGCGCGCTGCGCTCCTGCAATGGCTTTAGGAAAGGGAGGCCTTTAGGAAAAGGGAAGCCTTTAGGGAAAGGGAGCCTTTCCAAGGCCTTTTGGGGGGCCATGGCCATCTTGCGCTGCGAAGGAGCCCTCCCCACAGAAATAACACAGCAAACAACATCGAGATGGCAAAGTGCTGATTGCATCAGCCCGCACGCATGAAAACCGATCCCCGGGAAAATGTAATCCAACTCTCCAGCAATCTCACTTGATGCCCAGGAATGCAATAACTTCGCTTGGATCCTCTTTTTAGGGGGACTCCTAAATCCTTGGCAACTTCCCTTAAGGTCATGAGTAAATCCTGATATGGAGGATTGTTTGGCAAGCGCAAGAACAGTAAAAGGGCTAAATAATTGGGGATTACCTCTGACCCTGATCTGCTGCTCACCACCCTCTGCAGGAATGCACCGAATATCTGAAAGAGCGTGCAGGAGTCAGACAACTCACGGGCATGAAATCGTCCACGTACGCTCCAGGTTTCAACTCAGAAGGCAGAGCAGGTGGCCCCCGAACCTCTTCTCTCATTAGCCCCCAGCTGCAGCGAGCGGGCGAGCGCTAATTGCTGCCAGCGCCTGAGGCGGCGGGTGAGCTGCGACGGAGAAGGGGCCTGGCCTCCCTCCCTCTGCCCGGCAGGGCCTGGCTTAGAGCTGTGCAGCAGCGGGGAATTAGGCAGCTGATTCACTCCCCGCGCCGGGTGCTGGTTCTGCAAAGGCTGCAGTGCTGCGGGCCCGATGATCGCTACCAAATGCATTAAGAGCCTGTCGGAGAGGGTGCGCCCACACTCCGGAGCACGCGAGGCCGGCTGCTGCTCCTGCCCCGGTTCTGCTCCGTGCTCAGTGTCCCCTGGGCTGGAACGGCCTGGCTCGCAGGCAGGGCAGCATCGCGACGGACCCTCGAGCTGACCATGCCTGCAGGCGCCAGGGCTGCAGCGCGCGGAGCAGAGTGCGCAGCCCAGACCCAGCTCTGCGCCCTCCTGCTGCTGCTCCAGGCCACTGTTAGTGCCATAGCGCGAGCCTTGTGCTGCTGAGGCTGCACTTGGGCTCCTGTGAAGAATTTTCTGTTATTAGCATGCTAATACTTGGGGCTCGCAGGTTTGTGCAGGGTTCTGCTTTCTCTTAGGATTTCTCCTGGCAATTAGGCACGTTCTCAAGCAACACATGGAGTGCGATGCTCCCTGCATGCAGCCCCTGCGAGGAGCTGCCCGGGGCTGGCACTGCCCGCTGCAGGCGAGCGCATGGACAGCGTGCAGGACGCTGTGCCGAACCGTGCTGGGTAGTGCACAGCGTCCTGCGTGGGGCAGCACAGGCGGAGAGCGTGCAGGGCAGCGGGGAAGGACAGCGTGGATGGACAGTATGGATGGACAGTGCGCAGGTCAGCGTGCAGGAGAGTGTGCAGGGCAGCATGGATGGACAGCGTGCAGGACAGTGTGCAGGACAGCATGGATGGACGGCGTGCAGCACAGCGTGCAGGACAGCATGCAGCACAGCGTGCAGCACAGCGTGCAGAGCAGCACGCGGCACTGTGCTGGCAGAGCGTGCGGGGACAGCGCGGAGGGCAGCGTGCAGGGCAGCACGCGGGGACAGCGTGGGCGGGTGGCCGCGGGGGGAGCGCGCCGGGAGCGCGCAGGAGGGGCGCAGGGAGCGCGCAAGGGGAGCGCGCAGGGGGGGCGCAGGGAGCGCGCAGGGAGCGCGCAAGGGGAGCGCG